ATCATCCATCATAAATCTGGCTTTCTTGAACCTTCATTTAACTAACATGTATTTCCTCTCCATAGCATGACAAGCATTATCTCTTCTGAACGGGACTTGCTTGTTCTTCTTTCTTGCACTGATCACTGATATGCAGTTTCAACCTTATGGTGATGATTTGTTCCTGTTTCTCTTACTGTCGTTCTGAAATATCATGTGGTTGTAATTTCAGTCTCTCTCAAATTCTGTTGAAGACAAAGCAAAATGTTTACTCAACAAACTCAAAGGTATCTCTCTACCTTTAACTTTCACAACATTTCTAACGTCATAGTTTCAGTAGGAGTATTTTAAAACAACGTTCGGTATGTGTAAAGCTGTTTTTAAAAAGAAACTGGAAAATTGCGTTGCCCTACGAAACATTTTACATATTTGACTGCTGCTTCATGTTCCTGCTGCTTTAATTGATTAAAGAGGTATATTCCGGGCCTCAACGAGACATACAAGGCTAGAAGTGGGAAAGAAAAGAAGACAACATATAGCTAAACTGAAAAGTAATTATGGCAGATATATATGCCAAACCATTCAAATCACTTATCCCAATATATAGGACAAAATTAGCCATATGATTATGAAAGATTCACATGGGATGAAACACTAAACTGAGCCATTTTTTGCGGGGTAAATGAAATGAAAGGCAAATCAAAGAAGGAGATAGGAGATATTCTGAGAGAGAACAATATACCAGGAGGAGTGTTTCCCAGCAACATAAAGTGTTACGAGTACGAGGAATCAAAGGGGAAGCTGACAGTGCATCTTCCCTATCCATGTGAGGTGTGTTTCAAGGACTCATCCCTTCTCAGGTACTCCACACGTGTGAAGGCCACCTTGTCGAGGGGCAAACTCACCGTTCTGGAGGGCATGAAGACGAAGCGTCTGGTTTGGGTGAAGGTGTCAAGTGTGAGCGTTGAAAGCTACAAGTCTGACAAAGTTTGCTTCACAGCTTCTGGTGTGAAGATAAGCAGACCCAGAGACGCCTATGACTTGCCTCGTCCAGCCATTCAAGTCCATGACTTTTGACTCCCTTTCAATAATAGTCTCACTCTAATCTCTCTGTTTCCTTTCAATCTTGTCCCTATTACCATATTAATAACCTGCCTAGCATGATCTCTTCGAACTTAACTTATTAGTATTTGCTGATGCCATATATCGTGGGAGGTTTGAGGTTGGTTTTTACATTTTTATGCACTGTTATGCTTAGACAGGAATTTGGTTAGTCCTTTTCAGCTCTTAACTACAATATGTGAGTCCTATTTGAGGATGTTTCTTTTTCTATTACCTTTGTTATGCATGTATATAAAGCCGAATCCATCCGATTTTTTACACAGAGGGTTGGTAATCCTTAACCTTTAGAGGAATCCTCCATCAGTGACTGTAAATTAAATGACCACTTTTTCTCAATCAGTGGGTGGTTCGAGCATGAATCAAACTCTATTGAAATGTTTTGGTTGGCAATAAAATCAACATCATAATAATGATTTTGTTGTCTTCAGATATGGGCAATGATACCAGCATTAACATTTCATTCATTCTTATCTTTTTATCAGCAAGTCTGTATAATGGGTGTTTCACCTTTGTGCATTTCAGAATGATGAATCCTACAATATTTTTTTCTATATCATTTCTCTTTTTTACTTGAGATATGATGCTAACTACTATTTCTGGTCATAAATATAAGAGTTAAATTAGAGATTTAATTTAGTGTAAAATATAAAATCCCATCTCATTTTGTTTTCTATATTTATTTATTTTGCTCTAAAGTAATCCCTGTGATAAATGCACATATTGAAGGGTTTTCATTCTAATACACTTGATTAATAAAGTTATTTTAATGAAGACAACAATATTTATTATAAATAAATAATTTAATTAATTTTTCTAATGTTTGTAAGTTAATTATCTAGCTCTTATATTAAGAATTATCAATTTCAATTGCCAAGCTCCTACAGCTATTATGAGATTCAAAAATCAACTTGAATAGCTAGTTAATTTCATCATCAATGTTAATTTTGATATATATGTCGAATTCCCATTCTCTAAGCCAAAGGAAGACCATCTCATCTCTAAAACCCCACAGCTTAGTTTTCAGATTAGCTACAGCACAATATATATCCCTACAAGTAAGCCCAATCCTTTTTATGATTAATAGGCACAATAAACATTAAGATAAAATTTTATATGACCTAATTTGAGGGTTGATATTGAATCTATATATAAGATTTATTTCATATATTTATTAATTTTTTAAATTAACTTTATTAATATTCTTCTAATAATAGTCAACCAGGAGAGGAAGGGGGCAATTAAAGAAAATATTTAGAGTATTTTAAAAAAACATATCATATTTACTAATTTAACTAATATTCTTAATTTTTTTTAGTGACAAACTAACATTCTTAATTTACACAAATTAGTTAATTGCATTTTACATTAAGGACCACCAGAAGAGTACAATGAAACACTTACCCTTTTTATAATTAATAGGCACAATAAACATTAACTCAACACAACAAGTGGCTTATATTTAGGAATAAATTTTTTTCTTACAAATAATTTATAAATAGGAATGATATGTAATTTATCATATATTTTAGTACTTCATTACCTTCATTAATCTACTGTTAAACGCAATTAATCAAACGAGCAATTAGATTCCTGAAGATAGGGCCAGAGCCAGCCGCTCAGCCAGGACCACGGAATATTTATGACAGAGGCGTAGTCCTTTTTAGGCCCGAGCAGCGGCGTAATCAAGCGGTAGCTTTGCTTTGACGCTGTATCGTGTAAAAGGAATCCAATGGTCAGCGCACCGGTGAATCCTACGGTCAGGAATGACTCTGGTCCCACTGCGAAGATATTCTCTGCCCAACTGGAAACCCTAGTTGGGTTTAGGATATCTCTCAAAGGCACCCCAATCTTACATGTATATATATCTTTGTCCGCCTCTTCCTCGTCCTCTCCGTCCCTCGGGCTCTGCAATTCTGCTTCCCCTTTGTGAGTCGGTCGAGTCTGATACGGTGCGTTTTGCTTAGGGCAACGAATCCCACCATGTCGGACGAGGAACACCACTTTGAGTCCAAGGCCGATGCCGGAGCCTCCAAGACTTATCCTCAACAAGCCGGCACCATCCGTAAGAACGGCTACATCGTCATCAAGAACCGCCCTTGCAAGGTGTCTCTCTTTTACATCGATTCATTTTCCCTTTTGCCCCCTCGCTTTGTTGCCCGTGAAATCCTTCGTGGAATGATTGAGGCATTGTGGAAATTGAAAGTTGACTTTGCTGGGTTGATTTTGATGCGTGCTTGATTTGACTTATGGTCGTCTAACTACTCACAAATCTAGTCCTGATTAATGGGATGGTTTGTTTAATTGTTTTACCCTTATTCTGTTGTTTCCGGAAGTTGGAGGTGCGACTTTTATGATTTATTGACCTTGGCGCGGTTTACGTATGATTTATGGGTTTTAATTTCTTTAATCACTTCATCTAAATGTTGATTGACTTAACCCTTATAGATGCTGTTTTGAAGTTTTGTTTTACTTATGCGTTTCCTTGTTGCAGGTTGTTGAAGTGTCGACCTCCAAGACCGGTAAGCACGGTCATGCTAAGTGCCACTTTGTTGCAATTGATATCTTCACTGCTAAGAAGCTTGAAGATATTGTGCCCTCTTCCCACAACTGTGATGTACGAGCTTAATTTCAATTTTCAATATTTTGACCTCTTTTTAACAGTCTTCCCTAAAGGTGTCTCTGAACCGCAATTTTTCTTTTCAGGTTCCCCATGTGAATCGTACTGATTATCAACTAATTGATATTTCTGAGGATGGATTTGTGAGTTCCTTTATCTAAGGATACCCTTTGTTCATAAATTCATTTTGCTTCCATATTCTGAATGGATGTTTGCTACTGAATAATGTCATAGGTGAGTCTTCTTACCGAAAATGGAAATACCAAGGATGACTTGAGGCTTCCTACCGATGAAAATCTGCTTAATCAGGTTTGTCTTCGGCTCTGTTGCATGTTAGCATATACTATAAAAGAACTTTGAGCATTTTTTAGATTTATTAATTTAAAAATACATACATTTGATATTATTTTGGACCAAGCAACAAGTAAAATTTAAAGCTTCATTATTTGCTGTAACCGAAGATATTACAATGCCTTTTCTGTAGTCAAGTTGTTGGGAAACCCTTTAGTTTCATCATTGGTTTGTGTTGTTTTCTCTAATTGGTTATCCATTATTTGCTGTAACCGAAGATATTACAATGCCTTTTCTGTAGTCAAGTTGTTGGGAAACCCTTTAGTTTCATCATTGGTTTGTGTTGTTTTCTCTAATTGGTTATCCACTCACTTTCCTCTGCAGATAAAGGAAGGATTTGCTGAGGGAAAGGACCTTGTTGTTTCTGTCATGTCGGCTATGGGGGAGGAGCAGATTTGCGCCTTAAAGGATATTGGGCCAAAGTAGTTTCTTCCATTGTATGCTGGTCGTTTGTTATCATTTATTTAATCTCAGATATTTTTGTAAGCTTTTTTAGTCTTCTCGGCGGATGGTTTCTGATGGTTTTATGAATGTGTTCAGATAAACTATGGGTCACTTTTTATGGTTTGTCCAGAAATTTTCATGAGAAATAGGAGCCCATTATTTTAACTTTCCAATTCATGAGAGAGCAGTAAGATTTTGATAAAATTTATGGCTTGGGTTGCGTCGAGGATAAAATATTGGTTTATCGTTGCCCATCACGGATAAAACATGGATGCATCGTCTTTAGTTGTTGAGTTTTGACTTCCATTGCTTTGGAAGTGCTCTTCGCTTCTGATAAAAGACACAATCCTCATGAGGCGTGGCGGCCTGACTATTAAAGGTTTGATTTTGGGCAAGTAAATCAACCATGGGTCTTTATTCCTTTGGTGATCTACCTACAGTTTTGTTTGAGAAGGTTAATACACAGTTATTATAATTAATTAATTAAACTAATTTTTTTAATATTCTTAAATTAGTTATTTATAGTACTAAAATACTAAATGCCGTGAATAAAGAATTCGTGGTGAAGCTGGAAAATCGCCATGAAGCAAAGAAAGCAGTTCCAGAAGTTTGAGTGGACTCCGCAAGGAACTTTTTGTATCTATTTTGAAGAATTATTTGGAGTGGTGGGATCTCTGCTCAGGAACGATGCAATTAAAGTGAGTTGGGTGGTTGTTTTGTGGAGTAAACAAATGCAATCTTGTGGAATTCAGAGTTCTGAATACAAACGAGCATCTCAAAGCAATGGTAGTTGTGAATATATATGCCTCCCCTTAAAACAAAACATAAGTGAAGTATCTCGAAACAGTTCCAATAGTTTTCAGCTAAATATTCCCATTGAACTTTTTTTTGTCAACATTATTCCAATTAAACACGGGGAAGGCCAACCTTTATCCCTGAGAATTAGCCTAATACTGCTACAATTATAAGTCTTTTAACTTCTGGTGAGAATGGCAATCATTAAAAAAAATAAAAATTTCAAAAATTAATTTTGTTCAAGAATATGGGAACAACTGAAAAAGTATCATCAGGGGTATCTAAAATTATCATATATATTCCTTAAAAAATAGTTGCTAATTAATCTTATATATCAGGTAAAAATTAAATTCTAAAGCTTATCATAACTTCCAGAAAAACTGATTTTAACATCAAGAAAGTAAAACGGTAATATTAAAGTATTCATTACAATTTTTTTAAATTATAAAAATATATTATTTTAAATTTTTTTATTTGTAATTATGACAGATTATAAATTCTGAACCATACTTTTCTCAAATTCATCTTTCCCCACCCTTTTTTTTTTAATCTTTTTTAGTTTTTTATGATTCACCCTTTATTTTTATTTTTTTTTACCAGCCCTCTTCATTCTTTTATCCGTTTTCATTCGTGCCTGGTACCCCTCGAATAAAGAAATGTCAAATTCCTTTGCTTTTCTCTCTCTTTACTTGTTTTCAAAGCAAAGCAATCGGTGAGTCCTTCGAACGAAAGAGAGGAGGGATGAGTTCGTCGCCACATCGCTCTCGCGGAGGAGGCGGCGGCGATGATAGGCCCAGGTTCTTCGACTCAAAGGCCAAGAGCCTCTGCTGGGCAAAGGCTGATATTGTGCCCGGCCGTCATCCCGAGAGGTGGCGCAAAGACGCCGCCGGCAACATTGTTTGCAAGCGCTTCGGCAACTGTCACGGCTGCCTCTGCTTCGAGTACGATCACATCCTTCCCTTTTCCAAAGGTTCCCCCCTTCCCTTTTC